AAACATGTTTTTTTCCGTCTTTTATTATGCATTTTTGGCTGGTGCGACTCATACTCCAGAGCGATTTATAATCCAAAAATACGGTCATTCTAAAAGTAGCCAACTACAGTATTAAATCCCACAGCTGCAGTGTCGTAGCGGCCGGGAGGAGCAGAGGACGGACACCTCTCCGGCCTCAGATCTGTTTGGAATCGTTTACATCAAATATTTATGTCAAAACCTGTGCAAATGTTTCTCTGATGTAAATCTGTCTCTGATCTGAATTCGGAGCAGAGTGAGTCGTTCGTGTCGGGGATCGGGATTGAAAAGACTGCATGGTTCAGCGAGGAGTGGAGGACGTGACATCACACTCGGCCAAGAGTCAGTGGAGTCTATCTATCTTTATATGTATGCATCTACTGTATGTATCTACAGCAGGTGTCCCCAACCTTTTTCACCGGAACGATAAAGGAAAAGAGCTACTCCTTTTAGCGGCCCTGGGAGAAGTTTGGTGATATTTGGTGTGAACGAGCCAGACATTATTTATCATGGCACATTTGTTACTACTATTGCATAAAGTAAGTGCATTTACAAGAGCAAAAACAATACGGTTTGGTATATTAAGTATATTATTTCCTCATTTGTAAATCCTTTGGCGAGCTACCGGGAGAGGGGTGGCGAGCTACTGGTGGCTCCCAAGCTACAGGTTGGAGACCCCTGATCTACAGTATGCATCCATCTGTCTATATCTGTTAAAACCTGTGCAAATGTTTCTCTTACAGTTTTTCTCTGTGGCTTTGGTGCATGCACTAACTGTTGTGCAAATGTGAAGAATTATGTGAGAAATGCACCAAAGACACTCAGAAAAACTGTAAAACGACTCTGTCTCTGATCTGTGTTCGGAGCAGAGTGAGTCAGTTCAGTCAGGATCAGGATCCCTGCATGGTTCAGCGAGAAGGGGACGACGTGACATCACATTCGGCCAAGTGTCAGTGGAGTCGTCACCCGCTGCACACTCAGCAGCAGCAGCAGCAGCAGCAGCAGCAGCAGCAGCAGCAGCAGCAGTAGCAGCAGCAGCAGCAGCAGCAGTAGCAGCAGCAGTAGCAGCAGCAGCAGCAGCAGCAGCAGCAGCAGCAGCAGCAGCAGCAGCAGCAGCAGCAGCAGCAGCAGCAGCAGCAGCAGCAGCAGCAGCAGTAGCAGCAGCAGCAGCAGCAGCAGCAGCAGCAGCAGCAGCAGCAGTAGCAGCAGCAGCAGCAGCAGCAGCAGCAGCAGCAGCAGCAGCAGCAGCAGCAGCAGCAGTAGTAGCAGTAGCAGCAGCAGCAGCAGTAGTAGCAGCAGCAGCAGCAGCAGCAGCAGTAGCAGTAGCAGCAGCAGCAGCAGTAGCAGTAGCAGCAGCAGTAGCAGTAGCAGCAGCAGCCTCCAGCCTCTGTGTTTATGGAGATGTATATTTACTGTATGTTTGTTCCACCAGCTGCTGTTTATGAGCTGCTGCTGAGTCCCCGAGTGCAGCCCACAGGGACCGACCCGTCCCTTTGTGTTTTATCCACAGTGAACTACAGCTGTGTTTTATGTGCAGCTCTAAAGCAGATCTATGGTGCAGCTCTGAGGCGGCTCTAAAGCAGATCTACGGTCTTCTGTCTGCAGCACACAGGGACTTATCCTCAGGACCACTGAGATCCATTATATCTCAGTCCAGTCTCGTTCTCTACAACAGGGGTCTCCAACCTCTTTCCCACGAAGAGCTTCTCTTTTTTAGGACGAAAAGACATAAATACTTCTTTAAACGTTAAAACAAAAAATCTAGTTGTTAGTGTAGAATGGTATAGAATGGAATGGGATTGTTTTATAAGTATTCAACTGTAAATACCAATTATTTTGGGATTTGAATGTTTGGCTACACATCTTGAGTTGCCTTCTGTTATGTAAGGGATAATGTATAGCCTACAGGTCATTATCGGAAAATAAGTACCGACAGGGCGAAGCGGACCCCGACGCGCAGCGGAGGGGTCTGCTTCCGCCCTGAAGGTACTTATTTTCCGATAATGACCTGTAGGCTATACATTATCCCGCTTATTATACTGCTTTGTACCAACTTAACACACAAAATAAACTTCAGATCACTTTTATGAATGCCAAAAGTTTATTTAATGACAACAAATAAAGTAGTCCCAAAAAGTTTTCCCGTTGCTCGGCAACCGCGGGCAACAGTTAGGCTGGCAACTTCCAAATTAGAACTCTCTGGAACTGCATGAAAACTGAACAAAGAATTCTGAACATCAGCGGTGAGTGACCCATACATAAACCTAACCTAAATCCATAATTTGATTCTCTGCAAATGTGTCCGAAAATGTGCCGGTATCTTAAAATGTGCCGGTATCTACTTCCGGGTTTTTCGGGATCGCCTTTTCTCGCATTACATCAGTGTTTTTGTCATGAAAACGTAAACGGAAAATTCTGAAAACTTCCGTGCACTTGTATTAAGACTGGATATGTATAAATTACTCTCCGATTAACATTTCATTGCGTTGATTGATTGGCATTTGCGTTTATTGAGCGGCCAGAACTACTTCCGGGTTTTTCACGATCGCTTTTTGACGCAGAGAAATAGTATTTTTGTCATGAAGACAAGACCAGAAAATTCTGAAAATTTCCGTGCACGTGTGTGAAGAATGTATATGTATAAGTATTCTCCGATTAACATTTAAGTGTGTTGATTGAGCGTGGCTAGCTCCGGAGTGGCCGGAACTACTTGCGGAGTTATCCACGCATTTGAAATACAAGCAGAGAGTGCGTTGCCAAAGGGCAGCGGTCATTATTGTTTTTAGAGGTCCGTTATAGAAAATAATGACCGGTAGAACGTTTTGAAATTACATTCAAATCAATGGAGCATTCTACTGCTGCTGTGAGGAGCCGTATAATAAACATCTTTAATTGGTTGACAACAATCTACAATTTACATTCATCTACAAGTTCTGAAACAGTTGTGGTTTTGCGTTTTACGATTGTTATTTTTCTTGCTTTTTTCTTGCTGTAAATGTTGTTACAGTAAAGTTTGTTCATGGGTTTACTGTGATCCAGACCAGAGCAGAGACGATGGTCCCATTCAGACTCTGCAGACATCAATCAGAGGAAGCAGCTCAACGTGACTGGACCGGACGTGTGTGTGACTGGACGTGTGTGTGACTGGACGTGTGTGTGACTGGACGTGTGTGTGACTGGACGTGTGTGTGACTGGACGTGTGTGTGACTGTATGTGTGTGTGTGACTGTATGTGTGTGTGTGACTGGACGTGTGTGTGACTGGGCGTGTGTGTGACTGGGCGTGTGTGTGACTGTATGTGTGTGTGTGACTGGACCAGTGGGGGCGGGTCCCAGCTCAAAAGTGTCCAAAATGACGTGCGCTGACATGCTGCAATGCCGCCCCGGGCCGATGGGGGTGGACCCAGAAGAAGAATTAGCCAATGCTAACATATAGCATTGGCAGACCTCTCAAAAACGTCTTTACAGGATGGACCAAAAGTTGTCTCTTGGCCCAAAGCTCCGTTCCACATGTGTGTCAATGCTGAGGGAGTGTTTTGGTCCACTCTAGTTTACTTGGGGGGAATTTTTGAAGTCTCTCGCCGGCTGACACATGCGCAGATGCGTTTTTTTCACAATTTTCTTGTGGGCGGGACCACTCGCGGCCATCTTGGATTGCTCCATGAAAGCACTTTTCATGGCCAACTCCTATGAACGGCGGAGATAGGCGTGACTCTGTCCATTAATATATACAGTCTATGGACTGGACGTGTGTGTGACTAGTTGTGTGTGTGCGACTGGATGTGTTACTGGATGTATGTGCGTAGTGTGAATGAGGCTGGTGTGTAGTGTGAATGAGGCTGGTGTGTAGTGTGAATGAGGCTAGTGTGTAGTGTGAATGAGGCGGGTGTGTAGTGTGAATGAGGCGGGTGTGTAGTGTGAATGAGGTGGGTGTGTAGTGTGAATGAGGCGGGTGTGTAGTGTGAATGAGGCGCGTGTGTAGTGTGAATGAGGCTGGTGTGTAGTGTGAATGAGGCTAGTGTGTAGTGTGAATGAGGTGGATGTGTAGTGTGAATGAGGCTAGTGTGTAGTGTGAATGAGGCTAGTGTGTAGTGTGAATGAGGCGGGTGTGTAGTGTGAATGAGGCGGGTGTGTAGTGTGAATGAGGCGGGTGTGTAGTGTGAATGAGGCTGGTGTGTAGTGTGAATGAGGCTGGTGTGTAGTGTGAATGAGGCTAGTGTGTAGTGTGAATGAGGCTGGTGTGTAGTGTGAACGAGGCTGGTGTGTAGTGTGAATGAGGCGGGTGTGTAGTGTGAATGAGGCGGGTGTGTAGTGTGAATGAGGCTGGTGTGTAGTGTGAATGAGGCTGGTGTGTAGTGTGAATGAGGCTAGTGTGTAGTGTGAATGAGGCGGGTGTGTAGTGTGAACGAGGCGAGTGTGTAGTGTGAACGAGGCGAGTGTGTAGTGTGAACGAGGCGAGTGTGTAGTGTGAACGAGGCGAGTGTGTAGTGTGAACGAGGCGAGTGTGTAGTCAGAGCTAATTACTCTTGTGTTGGTGTTTGTGATCTCAGTCTGCCTACATTTTACAGCAGCTTACATCCAGATAATTGCAACGCGGCGCTAATTAGCGTTGATTGGGATGTGCACGTAGCGCTTAGCTTCGGCTTAAGCCAATGAGCTGATGGGACTGTGTGAAGTCGTCATGGCAACCTGTGGAAGTGCATTCAGCTCCAGTGATGTCCATTTCTGGGTCAGAACAGCCTTGATCTTGTACAAAACAAATGTGAAACTGAAAAGTCATTTAGGTCATAATGATACGAAACAAATCTGATTCTATTGTGAATTTAACAATAAGTGAAGTAAACAGTGGCCTCTGACAGACCCTCACTCCAGAAAACCAGATACTTTACTTTATTTCTGCTCAGACCACGACATGAATATTTTTGAATATGGAAGCGCACGCACCATGTGAGCGACCCTCACATGGTTTTGTTGTAAACACAGATGAGACTGGTCCATGTGAACAGAGAGATGAACATGAAGACCCGCTCCATAAGCTCCGCCCCCTGCACTGAGGTCAGCTGCTGTGTCGTCTGCAGTGTGAGTGTGTGTCTGTGTGTGTGTGTGTCTGTGTGTGTGTGTCTGTTTGAAACTCATAGGAGCTGGACAGAGGGAACTGTCCGCTCTCTGTAACCGGCAGATGGTGAGAAAGGCTCGCATCAGAATGTCCTGATCATGTTCTAAATGATGAGTGGTTGAGTGGATAGCACTCTGGCCTCACAGCAAGAAGGTCCTGGGTTCGAATCCCGGCCGGACCAGGGCCTTTCTGAGTGGAGTTTGCATGTTCTCCCCGTGTCTGCGTAGGTTTCCTCCGGGTACTCCGGTTTCCACTACCACTAAAAATATGTACAATAGTTCGGCGACCCCGCTCCCATCTCTGTGCGGAGTGAGAGACAAATGCCCAAAAATAACAATTGTAAACCGCACGGGGAGAACATGCAAACTTCACTCAGAAAGACCCCGACCGGGAACCGGTCGAACCCAGGACCTTCTCGGTGATTGGCGAGAGTGCTAACCACTCAGCCATTGTGCCGCAGACACGACATGGACAGACACGGACCAGATTAGACTGGATCAGAGGGACAGACCTGGACCAGACTGGAGCATAGGGACAGACTTGGATCATGGGGAAAGACTGGACTAGACCAGACTGGACCATAGGGACAGAACTGGATCATAGGGAAAGACCTGGACCAGACCAGACTGGTCCATAGGGACAGACCTGGACCATAAGCACAGACCCAGACAAGACTGGATCATAGGGACAGACCCAGACCAGACTGGATCATAGGGACAGACCCAGACCAGACTGGATCCATAGGGACTGCTGTTGGGAACACAGCTGCGTAGAACACATGTCTGATGGAATCCCTCAGATCCAGTCTCTCTGTGTTCACAGATCCAGATCTTTCACTGGACCTGCCACAGGAGGAAGAGGAGGAGAGTCATTCTGCTAAGAGGAAGATGAGGAAGAGGAGGAGATTTGTTCTGCTGAGAGAAGGAGGAAGAGAGTCATTCTGCAGAGAGGAAGAGGAGGAAGAGGAGGAGAATTGTTCTGCTGAGAGGAGGAGGAAGAGAGTCATTCTGCTGAGAGGAAGGGGAGGAAGAGGAGGAGAGTCATTCTGCTGAGAGGAAGAGGAGGAAGAGGAGGAAGAGGAGGAGAATCATTCTGCTGAGAGGAAGAGGAGGAAGAGGAGGAAGAGGAGGAAGAGGAGGAGAGTCATTCTGCTGAGAGGAAGAGGAGGAAGAGGAGGAAGAGGAGGAGAGTCATTCTGCTGAGAGGAAGAGGAGGAAGAGGAGGAAGAGGAGGAGAGTCATTCTGCTGAGAGGAAGAGGAGGAAGAGGAGGAAGAGGAGGAGAGTCATTCTGCCGAGAGGAAGAGGAGGATGGGGGATGAAGAGGAAGAGGAGGAGACAAAGCGTGGCCCCCAGTCTGACCCCTGCACCATCTGCAGCGTCAGCAGCTTCTCCCGGAGCCTCTCTCTTCTTCAAGGACACTTTCTGATCTTCATGTTGTGTTTGGCTCCAGTTAAACTGATCCCCCCGCCCCTTCTGCACGAACGCTCTCTGTTCAACATGGTCCATCTGGCAAATGATACAATTGTTATAGGGTTTTGTTAAAGACCAAAATAACAGAAACATTTGCTTCAGACCAGACCAGACTGGACCATAGGGACAGACCCGGACCAGACTGGACCATATGGACAGGCCCTATGGACCAGACTGGACCATAGGGACAGACCAGGACCAGACTGGACCATAGGGACAGACCAGGACCAGACTGAACCATAGGGCCAGACCCGGACCAGACTGAACCATATGGACAGGCCCGGACCAGACTGGACCATAGGGACAGAGCCGGACCAGACTGGACTATAGGGACAGACCCGGACCAGACTGGACCATAGGGACAGAGCCGGACCAGACTGGACTATAGGGACAGACCCGGACCAGACTGGACTATAGGGACAGACCCGGACAAGACTGGACCATAGGGACAGACCCGGACCAGACTTGACCATAGGGACAGACCAGGACCAGACTGGACCATAGGGACAGACCAGGACCAGACTGGACTATATGGGCAGACCTGGACCAGACTGGACTATAGGGACACGCCCGGACCAGACTGGACCATAGGGACAGACCAGGACCAGACTGAACCATAGGGCCAGACCCGGTCCAGACTGAACCATAGGGCCAGACCCGGACCAGACTGAACCATATGGACAGGCCCGGACCAGACTGGACCATAGGGACAGAGCCGGACCAGACTGGACTATAGGGACAGACCCGGACCAGACTGGACCATAGGGCCAGACCCGGACCAGACTGAACCATATGGACAGGCCCGGACCAGACTGGACCATAGGGACAGAGCCGGACCAGACTGGACCATAGGGACAGAGCCGGACCAGACTGGACTATAGGGACAGACCCGGACCAGACTGGACTATAGGGACAGACCCGGACAAGACTGGACCATAGGGACAGACCCGGACCAGACTTGACCATAGGGACAGACCAGGACCAGACTGGACCATAGGGACAGACCAGGACCAGACTGGACCATATGGGCAGACCTGGACCAGACTGGACTATAGGGACACGCCCGGACCAGACTGGACCATAGGGACAGACCAGGACCAGACTGAACCATAGGGCCAGACCCGGACCAGACTGAACCATATGGACAGGCCCGGACCAGACTGGACCATAGGGACAGAGCCGGACCAGACTGGCCTATAGGGACAGACCCGGACCAGACTGGACCATAGGGACAGAGCCGGACCAGACTGGACTATAGGGACAGACCCGGACCAGACTGGACCATAGGGACAGAGCCGGACCAGACTGGACTATAGGGACAGACCCGGACCAGACTGGACCATAGGGACAGAGCCGGACCAGACTGGACTATAGGGACAGACCCGGACCAGACTGGACTAAAGAGACAAACCCGGACCAGACTGGACCATAGGGACAGACCAGGACCAGACCACAGCTGATCATATGGACAGATCCAGACTAAACCACGAATTAGACCAGATTGGAACATAGGGACAGACCCAGACCAAATCAGACTGGACAGAAACAAAACCTGAAGTTTTCTGAAATCACAGCAACAGATCTTTTGATGAATATTTCTGAAATTTCCGAACATCTAGAAAACATAGACCAGACTCTAACAGGTCTGAACGCTCACAGGTCTGGACTCTCTCAGGTCTGGACTCTCACTGGTCTGGACTCTCACTGGTCTGGACTCTCACTGGTCTGGACTCTCACAGGTCTGGACTCTCACTGGTCTGGACTCTCACTGGTCTGGACTCTCACAGGTCTGGACTCTAACAGGTCTGGACTCTCACTGGTCTGGACTCTCACTGGTCTGGACTCTCACTGGTCTGGACTCTCACTGGTCTGAACTCTCACTGGTCTGGACTCTCACAGGTCTGGACTCTCACTGGTCTGGACTCTCACTGGTCTGGACTCTCACAGGTCTGGACTCTCACTGGTCTGGACTCTCACTGGTCTGGACTCTCACTGGTCTGGACTCTCACAGGTCTGGACTCTCACTGGTCTGGACTCTCACAGGTCTGGACTCTCACTGGTCTGGACTCTCACAGGTCTGGACTCTCACTGGTCTGGACTCTCACTGGTCTGGACTCTCACAGGTCTGGACTCTCACAGGTCTGGACTCTCACAGGTCTGGACTCTCACAGGTCTGGACTCTCACTGGTCTGGACTCTCACTGGTCTGGACTCTCACTGGTCTGGACTCTCACAGGTCTGGACTCTAACAGGTCTGGACCTCACTGGTCTGGACTCTCACTGGTCTGGACTCTCACAGGTCTGGACTCTAACAGGTCTGGACTCTCACTGGTCTGGACTCTCACTGGTCTGGACTCTCACTGGTCTGGACTCTCACTGGTCTGAACTCTCACTGGTCTGGACTCTCACAGGTCTGGACTCTCACTGGTCTGGACTCTCACTGGTCTGGACTCTCACAGGTCTGGACTCTCACTGGTCTGGACTCTCACTGGTCTGGACTCTCACTGGTCTGGACTCTCACAGGTCTGGACTCTCACTGGTCTGGACTCTCACAGGTCTGGACTCTCTCAGGTCTGTACTCTCACAGGTCTGGACTCTAACAGGTCTGAACTCTCACAGGTCTGGACTCTCACAGGTCTGGACTCTCACAGGTCTGGACTCTCACAGGTCTGGACTCTCACAGGTCTGGACTCTCACTGGTCTGGACTCTCACAGGTCTGAACTCTCACTGGTCTGGACTCTCACTGGTCTGGACTCTCACTGGTCTGGACTCTCACTGGTCTGGACTCTCACAGGTCTGGACTCTCACTGGTCTGGACTCTCACAGGTCTGGACTCTCACAGGTCTGGACTCTCACTGGTCTGGACTTTCACAGGTCTGGACTCTCACAGGTCTGGAGACTCTCACTGGTCTGGACTCTCACAGGTCTGGACTCTCACTGGTCTGGACTCTCACAGGTCTGAACTCTCACTGGTCTGGACTCTCACTGGTCTGGACTCTCACAGGTCTGGACTCTCACTGGTCTGGACTCTCACAGGTCTGGACTCTCACAGGTCTGGACTCTCACAGGTCTGGACTCTCACTGGTCTGGACTCTCACAGGTCTGGGCTCTCACAGGTCTGGACTCTCACAGGTCTGGACTCTCACTGGTCGTCTGTGGATATGGTTCATGTTCCGGGTCATGGTCCTGGTCCTGATTGACCTCTGAGACCGACCATGACATGAATATGAAGCAGCTGCAGTGAGACCGGATGGATCGCATCAGTCCAGTCCAGCCTCAGTCCAGTCCAGCCTCAGTCCAGTCCAGCCTCAGTCCAGTCCATCCTCAGTCCAGTCCAGCCTCAGTCCAGTCCAGCCTCAGTCCAGTCCAGCATCAGTCCAGTCCATCCTCAGTCAGTCCAGCCTCAGTCCAGTGGTCTCTCTCTCTCTGGTCTCTCTCTGGTCGCTCTCTCTGGTCTCTCTCTGGTCTCTCTCTGGTCTCTCTCTCTGGTCTCTCTCTGGTCTCTCTCTGGTCTCTCTCTGGTCTCTCTCTCTGGTCTCTCTCTGGTCTCTCTCTGGTCTCTCTCTGGTCTCTCTCTGGTCTCTCTCTGGTCTCTCTCTCTGGTCTCTCTCTGGTCTCTCTCTGGTCTCTCTCTCTGGTCTCTCTCTGGTCTCTCTCTGGTCTCTCTCTCTCTCTCTCTGGTCTCTCTGGTCTCTCTCTGGTCTCTCTCTGGTCTCTCTCTGGTCTCTCTCTCTGGTCTCTCTCTGGTCTCTCTCTGGTCTCTCTCCTGGTCTCTCTCTGGTCTCTCTCTGGTCTCTCTCTGGTCTCTCTGGTCGCTCTCTCTGGTCTCTCTCTGGTCTCTCTCTCTGGTCTCTCTCTCTGGTCTCTCTCTGGTCTCTCTCTGGTCTCTCTCTCTGGTCTCTCTCTGGTCTCTCTCTGGTCTCTCTCTGGTCTCTCTCTGGTCTCTCTCTCTGGTCTCTCTCTCTGGTCTCTCTCTCTGGTCTCTCTCTCTGGTCTCTCTCTGGTCTCTCTCTGGTCTCTCTCTCTGGTCTCTCTCTGGTCTCTCTCTGGTCTCTCTCTGGTCTCTCTCTGGTCTCTCTCTGGTCTCTCTCTGGTCTCTCTCTGGTCTCTCTCTGGTCTCTCTCTGGTCTCTCTCTCTGGTCTCTCTCTGGTCTCTCTCTGGTCTCTCTCTGGTCTCTCTCTGGTCTCTCTCTGGTCTCTCTCTGGTCTCTCTCTGGTCTCTCTCTCTGGTCTCTCTCTGGTCTCTCTCTGGTCTCTCTCTCTGGTCTCTCTCTGGTCTCTCTCTGGTCTCTCTCTGGTCTCTCTCTCTGTCTCTCTCTGGTCTCTCTCTGGTCTCTCTCTGGTCTCTCTCTGGTCTCTCTCTCTGGTCTCTCTCTGGTCTCTCTCTGTCCTCTCTCTGGTCTCTTCTCTGGTCTCTCTCTCTGGTCTCTCTCTGGTCTCTCTCTGGTCTCTCTGGTCTCTCTCTGGTCTCTCTCTCTGGTCTCTCTCTGGTCTCTCTCTGGTCTCTCTCTCTGGTCTCTCTCTGGTCTCTCTCTGGTCTCTCTCTGGTCTCTCTCTGGTCTCTCTCTCCTGGTCTCTCTCTGGTCTCTCTCTGGTCTCTCTCTGGTCTCTCTCTGTCTCCTCTCTGGTCTCTCTCTGGTCTCTCTCTGGTCTCTCTCTGGTCTCTCTCTGGTCTCTCTCTGGTCTCTCTCTGGTCTCTCTCTGGTCTCTCTCTGGTCTCTCTCTGGTCTCTCTCTGGTCTCTCTCTGGTCTCCTCTCTGGTCTCTCTCTGGTCTCTCTCTCTGGTCTCTCTCTCTGGTCTCTCTCTGGTCTCTCTCTGGTCTCTCTCTGGTCTCTCTCTGGTCTCGTCTCTCTGGTCTCTCTCTCTGGTCTCTCTCTGGTCTCTCTCTGGTCTCTCTCTGGTCTCTCTCTGGTCTCTCTCTGGTCTCTCTCTGGTCTCTCTCTGGTCTCTCTCTGGTCTCTCTCTGGTCTCTCTCTGGTCTCTCTCTGGTCTCTCTCTCTGGTCTCTCTCTGGTCTCTCTCTCTGGTCTCTCTCTGGTCTCTCTCTGGTCTCTCTCTGGTCTCTCTCTGGTCTCTCTCTGGTCTCTCTCTCTGGTCTCTCTCTGGTCTCTCTCTCTGGTCTCTCTCTGGTCTCTCTCTCTGGTCTCTCTCTGGTCTCTCTCTCTGGTCTCTCTCTGGTCTCTCTCTGGTCTCTCTCTGGTCTCTCTCTGGTCTCTCTCTCTGGTCTCTCTCTGGTCTCTCTCTCTGGTCCTCTCTCTGGTCTCTCTCTGGTCTCTCTCTGGTCTCTCTCTGGTCTCTCTCTCTCTCTCGGTCTCTCTCTGGTCTCTCTCTGGTCTCATCTCTGGTCTCTCTCTCTGGTCTCTCTCTGGTCTCTCTCTGGTCTCTCTCTGGTCTCTCTCTGGTCTCTCTCTCTGGTCTCTCTCTGGTCTCTCTCTGGTCTCTCTCTCTGGTCTCTCTCTGGTCTCTCTCTGGTCTCTCTCTGGTCTCTCTCTGGTCTCTCTCTGGTCTCTCTCTGGTCTCTCTCTGGTCTCTCTCTGGTCTCTCTCTGGTCTCTCACCTGGTCTCTCTCTGGTCTCTCTCTGGTCTCTCTCTGGTCTCTCTCTCTGGTCTCTCTCTGGTCTCTCTCTGTCTCTCTCTCTGGTCTCTCTCTGGTCTCTCTCTCTGGTCTCTCTCTCTGGTCTCTCTCTCTGGTCTCTCTCTGGTCTCTCTCTGGTCTCTCTCTCTGGTCTCTCTCTCTGGTCTCTCTCTGGTCCTCTCTCTGGTCTCTCTCTGGTCTCTCTCTGGTCTCTCTCTGGTCTCTCTCTCTGGTCTCTCTCTGGTCTCTTCTCTGGTCTCTCTCTGGTCTCTCTCTGGTCTCTCTCTGGTCTCTCTCTGGTCTCTCTCTGGTCTCTCTCTCTCTCTCTGTCTCTCTCTGTCTCTCTCTGGTCTCTCTCTCTGGTCTCTCTCTGGTCTCTCTCTCTGGTCCTCTCTCTGGTCTCTCTCTCTGGTCTCTCTCTGGTCTCTCTCTGGTCTCTCTCTGGTCCCTCTCTCTGGGTCTCTCTCTGGTGTCTCTCTCTGGTCTCTCTCTGGTCTCTCTCTCTGGTCTCTCTCTGGTCTCTCTCTGGTCTCTCTCTGGTCTCTCTCTGGTCTCTCTCTGGTCTCTCTCTCTGGTCTCTCTCTGGTCTCTCTCTGGTCTCTCTCTGGTCCCTCTCTCTGGTCTCTCTCTGGTCTCTCTCTGGTCTCTCTCTGGTCTCTCTCTCTGGTCTCTCTCTGGTCTCTCCACTGGTCCACACCACCCCCCCCCTCACCCCACCCACACCCCCAACCCAAAAACCCCCACACCCCACCACCCAACCCCAAAACACCCCCAACAAACAACAACCCACCCCCACACCCCCCCAACCCCAAACACAACCAACCACACCCCCACACACACCAAAAACCAAAACCCAACCCACACACACCCAAACCCACCACCCCCCACACCCACCACCACCACCCCAACCACAACCACCCCACCACAACCCCCCCAACCCCCACCACCCCCCCCCACCACCCCACCCCCCCCCCCCCCACCCCACCCCCCAACCCACCCCCCCCCAACCCCCCCCACCCCCCAAACACCCCCCCCCCCCCCCCACCCACCACCCCCCACCACCACCCCACCCCCAACCACACCCCACCCCAACCCCCCCCCAAACCCCCCCCACACACAAACACCCCCCCCCCCCCCCCAAACACACAACCCCCACCCCAACACCCCCACCCCACACCCAACAACACCCCCCCCCCCACACACCCCCCCACCCAACCCCCCCACCAACCACCCCCCCCACCACCCCCAACAACCCAACACCCAAACCACCCCCCCCCAACCCAACAACCAACAACCCCACCCACCAAACCCCCCACACAAAACCCCCCCCCCCCAACCCCAATACAACCCCACACCACCCAACACAACACCCAACACAAACACCCCCCCCAAAACCCCCCCCAAACCCCCCCCCACCCACCACCCACCACCCCAAACCCCACAACCACCACCACCACCAAAATCACCCACAACAACCCCCCCCACCCCCCACCCAACCACCCCAAAACACCACCCCCACCCCCCCCCCCCCTCCCCCACCCCACCCACCCCCTCAACACCCCCCCCCCCCCCCCACAACCCATCCCCCCCCCCACCCCCACCAAACCCCCCCCCCCAACCCACAAAAAACACCCAACCCCCCCCACCCCACAAAAACCACCCAACCAATAAACTACCCCCCCACAAAACCCCACCAACAAAAACCCCCACACACCAAACCCACCCCCCACCAACCCCACACACCAAACCCACCACAAACCCACACAAACCACCACCCCCCAAACCCCACCCCAAAACCCCCACACCAACCCCACCAACAACCCCACCCCCAAAAACCCCCACCACATAAACCCCACCCCCCACCAAACCCACCACCACAAAATAAACCACCACAAAAACCTCCACAACAAAAACCCCCCTCCCCCCCCCTCCAAAAACCACCACCCACTCAATATACACCCACCCCCAACCCCTACACCAAACAACAAAACAAAAACCCAACCCAAAAAACCCAAACCACAACCCCACCAACAAACACCCCAAAACCATAAACACCTCCAAACCCACCACAACACTCCACACCCCCCCCCCCAACCAAACCCACTCAAACTCCCCCTCCCCACAAAAAACACACCCAACTACCAAAACCCCCCCCCCAAATCCAACCCCCAACCATCACCCCCAAATCCAATCCTCAATCTTCCCTATCCCCCTATATCCCCTCTCATCCTCCCCAAACCCCTCCTTACCTCTACCAAAAAACTCAACTCTCAACCCATAAACACACACCCCACCCTCACACACACAACTAACCCCACAATAAAACAAAACCCCACAAAACCCCCACAACCAACCACCAACCTTACCCCAAACCCCAAAACCCACCCCCACCACCAAAAAACAAACTTCCACACATCCCCCACACCCAAAAACACCCCCCCCCCCCCACCCAACTTCAAAAAAAACCAACCCAACAACACAAAACCCACTACACCCCCAACCACAAAACAAACAAACCACAAAAACAACACAACCCCCCACCCCCAAAACCACCAACCCCAACAAAATAACCCCACACCCCACAACCACAAAACCCCACCACACCTCACCAACCACAAACCCACCCCCAAAAACACCCCAATACCACCCAAAATAAACCACAATAACTAACACCCCAATAACCCACCAATCACCCCCACAAACCAAAATATTACACATAACCCCCCCCCCCCACCCAAAAACCCCAAAAATAATCTCCCTACTCCTAATACATAACACCCCCCATAAAATACCCTTAAACCCACAATAACTCAATCACCCCACCCCCCCCCCCCCAAACCCATAAACCAAACAACACCACCACCACAACACCACACAAAACATACCAACAAAACAACAACACACCCAAACCACCCACCCACACACCAAAAACCACAAAACAAACCCCCAAACACCCCCCACCACCACCCCCCCTCCACAAAACACACACACCCAACAACAAAACAACCCCCAACCCCACCCCCCCCACACCCCACAAACAAACACACAAAACACCCCACAAAAACCCATCAAATAAAACCCCCCACCCCCACCACCCCAAAAAAACAACAAATATACACACACAAAACAACACCACAAAACATACTCACACAAAATCAACCCCCCCCCACCCCCCCCCCACCCCACCCCACCCCCCACCCCCCCCCACCCCCACCCACCCCCAAACCCACCCAAACAAACCACACCAAAACCCACCAAAACAACCCCCACACCACCAACACCATAATCAACACCACCCACCCCCTACCCCACCCCCCCCCCCAAACACCCTTCCAAAACAAAACTCAAAAAAAAATCCACTCAATCCCAAAAATCAACTCCAAACCATCCCCCCCCCAAACCCTCAATACCCACCTAACAATTATCTTCAACATCCTTCCCCCTTCCCCATCCTTCCTTCCCTTCCCTTCCCTATCTTCCCCCAACCCCTTCCCAAACCCTACATACATCCTTATACATTACAACCACCCCCATCCCACACCCCCCACTCATCCTCCCCCATTCAAACAACCCTAACACTTTCACTCCACCCCAAACCTCCCCACCCCACCCAATAACAACCCCCCTCCCCCCCACCATTCCATACACCCCCCCCAATACCAACCCCTCCCTTTATACCCCCCCCTCCCCCCACCCCCCAAAAACACAATACAATACCTTAACCAACAAAAAACCACAAAAACCACCAACCCCTAACTAACTCAACACACACACATCCCACCCCCCCATACCTCCCCCACCCCCACCAATCCCCAAACAATAACCCCCCCCCCACCACACAAACCACCAACCTCCAACCACCATACCCAATACACATACTCTCCCCCAAAACAAATCCAACCCCTACCAACCCACCATACCCCCCATTCCACCCCCCCCCCCCAAATATCAAAAATCATCCACCCTATAACCCCCACAATACTACCATACCACCATCATATTCATCTCCATACCTTCCTTACCCTAATTCCCCTACATACCACCAACCAAAACACAAACATCAAACACCCCCCCCTACACCCCAAATCAACACCACACAAAAACAACACATCCCCCCCTCAACAACACCCCCCCAACAAAATACCTTACCAAACACAACCCCAACAAAAATAACATCTATTAAACCCACCACCCTAAAACATAACTCTCATTCCCAAACAAAACACCACCCCCAACCACCTCCACCCCAACCCAACTACCCCCACCATACCCCCAAACAAAAAACCCCAACCAAACCCTCTAAATCCCATATCCCCCCTCAAAAACCACCCTAATTTCCCCCCCCTACCCTCTCCCATACCTCAATTACCCCCTAAAAAACCTTACCCATATAACCTATTCAAAAATCCCACCCACCAACCCAAAACCCTCAAACCACACCATCACCCCCCTCTACCCCCCCAACCCCCCCTAAACTCCCCCCCCCATCCACCTCCCTAAAAACCCAACAAACTAAAAAACCCACAACTTACTCCCACCCCACCCACATATCCCATCATTACCTACCCACTATCATTACATCTTATTCTAAAACCCAAATAATCTTTTTACTACTTCCCCCTCCTCCTCCCCCCCCTCCCTACCCCCAAACACCCCCCCCCTCCTCCTTAATAATTCTTAAACACCACCCACTAACCCCCCCCCCAACACAAAAATCTACCAACCCCATACCACAATCCAAACATACCACATACCCAAAAAACATTCCTACAATTCAAACATACCAACAAAAAAAACCCCCCACCCACCCCCCCCCCCCACAACATCCCCCACCCAACCCAACAACAAACAACCCCCATAATAATAAACAACAACAACCCAAAACAAAATCAACCTACATATATAATCCCACCACAACCCCCCCCCCCCACACCCAAACCCCAACCCACACCACACAACCCCCCACCACACCCCCCCAACACCCACACACAACCCCCCACCCCCCCCCCCCCCACCCAAAAACCCCACACCCACAACAAACCACAAACACCCCCAAAACACCACCCAAACCACCCCCACAACCCCCCCCAAACCAAACACCATCAACACCAAACACACCCAACCAACCACACACAAACCACACCCCACCCACACCCCCCCACCACAAACAACCAACCCACAATAAACCCATACAACAAACCCCAAAATCACAACCCACCCCCCCCCCCCACCACAAACAACACAACCCCCCCCCACACAACCCACCCCACCCCCACCTCCACCACTCAAACACCCCACCCCCCCACCAAACCAACCCCCCCCAACACCCCCACAAAAACACCCAACCCACCAAACCCCCCCAAAACCCCCACCAAAAACCCAAAAACAACCCACACCCACCAACCCACCAACAAACAAACAACTACACCCACCAAACCAAAACCCCCACCCCCCACCACCCCAATAAAACCCCCCCCAAAACCACCACTCAAACCACCCCCCCACCAAATAAAACCAACTCCCACAAACCACCCCCCCCCACCACCCTACACCACACAAACCCCACACACCCCCCCACCCACACCACACCAACCCCACACCCCAAAAACCACCCACCCCCAACCCCACCCACACCCACAAAAACCCAACAAAACCCCCCCCCACCCCAAAACCAACCAACCCATACTCAAACCCACCCACAAACCCCACCCAACCACACACCCCCCCCACCCCCCACAAACCAAACCCCCCACCCCACACCCCACCAATACACCCAAACACCAACAAACCCCACACACCCCACCAACTACCAAACACACTCCACTCAACACCCCCCCCTACCAATACCACCAACCCAAACACCACCCACCCCACCACCCCCCCCCAAAACACAACAAACCAAACCCCACACCAACTATAAATCAACCCTCCTAAAAAAAACCCCCACACAACCCCAACACCCCCACACCAAACACCACACCAACCACACCCTCATATACCCTCCAAACTAATACCTAAAACATACACCCACCCACCCCCCACAACCCAAACATAACCACACAAATCAACCAAAAACAACCCAAAACAACCAACCCACCTCCACCACCCCTACCCAACAATACACCCCCCCCCACCCCCCCCCTCCCCCCCCCTCACAACCCCCCCATATCCCCCCCCCCCCCCCCCCCCCACCACACCCCACACCAACAAACAACCACAAACAAAAATACAACACCCTATCTATCCCTAACCCCCCCTCACATAACAACCTTACACAAATCCCATCAACCCCCTTACCCCCTTCACCCCCCCCACTACCAAAAACACCCAATAAAAAATCCCAAAAAACTAACTAAAACCCAAAACTATATCAAATACACAAACACACACACCACACAAAAAACAACAACAACACAAAACCCCACACACCCCCCCCCCCACACCCCACCCCACCAAACCCCCCCCCCCCACAACCCAACCCACATACCCCCCCCCCTACCCCACCCCCCCACCACCCCCCCAAACACCCCCCCACCCATACAACCACCCCAAAAACCCACCACCCAAACTACCCCACACCCACCCACCCCACCCCCACCACCAACCACCAACAAACCCCACTCTCCCCCAACCACCCCTATTCCCCCAAACTCCCCTCTAACCCCCCCCCAAAACTCACAACCCCCCACCAACCCCATTAATCCCACCTCCACCCCTCCCTATCCACACCCCAACCCCCACCTATCCCCCCAACACCACAATACCAATTATAAATAATACTTATACCCCCTAACAACTCACAACCCACCACCTACCAAAATACCCCACCCCCCCCAAAACAAAACCACCCAACACAACTTCCAACTATCAAAAAAACACCCCCTCTACAACCCCCACATCACACCTCACACACCACACACACCCCACACACACCACACAACACACCACAACACACCACACACTCCACTCACACACCCAACACTCACCACACACTAACCAAACACCCACAACCACACCCAAACACCACACACACACAACAACCCCACAACACAACCACACACACCCCACAACACACCCCAACACCACCACACACACCACAACAACCCCAACAACCCAACACACCCACAAACACCATCACACACACAACAAACCAACCCACACCACACACACCCACACACAACCACACACACACCACACCAACCACATCACACACCACTCACCCAACACACACCACACACACACCACACTACAACCACACAAACCTCAACTCACCACAAAACACCACACAACACACACACACACCCACACACAACCCCCCCAACCCCACCCCCCAACAACCCACACCACCCACCCACCCCCCACAAAACCCAACACACCCACACCCAAAACACACCACCCCACCAACAACAAACCACCACCACAACCAAACCACCAACCCCCCAAACCACACCCACAAAACCCCCCACACCCCCCCAACCCCCCCCCCACCCACCCCCCCCCACTCAACAACCCCCACCCCCCCCCCACAACAACCAACCAACAACCACCCCACCCCCAAACCCCACCCCCCCCCCCCAACCCTACCACAACCCCCCCACCACAACACCACCCTTACCCACAACAACACCAACCATCTTATACCCCCCCTACCAAAAACCTCCTATCCCATCAAAACACCAACCACATATAAAAACTCCCCCACTTCATCTTATAACACC